GCAATATTTTCGCGTTTCATACTTCTCCCTCTGTTTTGTCTTCTTCTTGGACTCATTCCTACTTCAGTCATAAGAATTATTACAATTGTATTAACAGTCATTTGCTGCACACACATGCATTCATGCAATACACATGTTTGAACAGAAGTGATTTCTTTTTAGATTTCGAATTATTTATTTGGTAACCTTCAAACTGTGGCCCTTTATTTATTCGTTCAAATGAGCAGGATGTTGCTTGTTCCTCTGAATCTTGCGAATTAGTCGAATTTACCGAGGCTTTAAATCGTTTTCAAAACAGCCATAAATTCCTCGTAGTTTATAATACACTTCTGAGATTTTTTTTCTGTTTTTGCATCAATTAAGTGATTTGAAGAGGCGTTTCAATGCCACCTGAACAGTCGAATTTCCCAGATCCAAGCTGTCACAGATTAGGAATCAGATGAGTTCATAGGCCTACATTAAATCAGATGAAACGAGATTGATCGCTTGTGAATAAAATTCGATAGAATGATCAAATACATAGATCCAATATAAGAATAGAATATATGAATTATGATATAATATAAGCTAAAAGTGAAAATATTGCGAGGAAATGAGTGTGTTGCCATAAAAATATTTTCAAATTAAGTAATCAACCAATCAGTGCTCATCATCCTGTTCACTAGTGCTAATCATTGGTCTTAACTTAACAAATGCTGTCTTGATCTTTACGTTGCCCATCAGATCATGTTTCATCATGGGTTGATCCAATGGTCAACTGTTGATCCAGTCTTATCTGAAATCAATTCAGCTGATCCGTTATTCAGTAATATTCATGTATGAAGCAAGAGCATCATCAACGAGCAACAATCTGTTCGAATCCTTTACTTATTTCATCAGTTTTATTTCGCTTAGCTTCATTCTCAGCTTTTCACACACTTCATGGCCGAACTTCATTGCTTATAAACAGCTGTTACATTCATTCACGTTGTTCATTCGTTTAGTCCAGACCGATGAATGAATGAACACATTTCGCAGTTATTCTTTTGCATTCATATTGATTGTTCTCATTAAATTCTTACTATTGTTTTTATTAATATTATTATTGTTATTTTTATTATAATGCCCGTTATTACTATTATAAATATTTTGTCGAAACTCCAACTTCATCAGTTTTTTATCTTCAACAAATTCTATGCGAATATATTCCAGATTGTTTCATCAGCGGTTTATGTATGCAACTAAATACAAATAGTTTCTTTTCTGATAACGAACAATCTTTCTGATGGTTTATTTGCGTCACTTCAACGAACGTATTTCCTTCTAAATTACTGATAAAATTTGTTGAAGTTCGTTTTGAAAATGCAATTTTGCTCGATTCGTGCACAAAAAATCTCAAATTCCCATCCGTTCAGCAACAATCGTTCTAGAGGCCTAGTTGCTCACTGAATTAATTAACTTCATTGCTTATAAACAGCTAGTTCCGTTTGTCGTAAGTTGACTGAATTTATTAGTTAGGCAAACGGATCATCTTGATTTCTAATAATTCACTTCCTCTTCGCAATCCCTCTACCAAAAAATGTCGCCAACAACTCATTTGATCATTTAGTTTACGTACTTATCATCATTATTGCGAATTATTAGTCACGTTGTGAACGCGTTGAATATATTGCGTATGCAGCGTACTCACATGACTGTCTTGACGTTCAAAACTTTTTTCTGAATCCATCAAAAAATGAACATTCCATCTTCAAAGCATTCTTCATTCATCCAATGAAACACTTTGAAACTTAGGTCACAAAC